AAATGCCTGGATATGTAACTTTTAGGGTCATAAAAGTGCTAGGATGTGTAACCTTTGAGGGTCATAAAAGTGCCAGGATATATAACTTCGAGGGTCTTAAAGTGCCAGGATATATAACCTTTGAGGGTCTTAAAGTGCCAGGATATATAACCTTTGAGGGTCATAAAAGTGCCAGGATATATAACCTTTGAGGGTCATAAAAGTGCCAGGATATATAACCTTTGAGGGTCATAAAAGTGCCAGGATCTATAACCTTTGAGGGTCTTAAAGTGCCAGGATATATAACCTTTGAGGGTCTTAAAGTGCCAGGATATATAACCTTTGAGGGTCATAAAAGTGCCAGGATATATAACCTTTGAGGGTCATACAAGTGCCAGGATGTGTAACCTTTGAGAGTCATAAAAGTGCCAGGATATATAACCTTTGAGGGTCTTAAAGTGCCAGGATATATAACCTTTGAGGGTCATAAAAGTGCCAGGATGTGTAACCTTTGAGGGTCATAAAAGTACCAGGATGTGTAACCTTTGAGGGTCATAAAAGTGCCAGGATGTGTAACCTTTGAGGGTCATGGCATAATTACATGACCTTTAAGGTTTCTGCCATTATAGTCAATTTTTTTTTATGTTTATCCTTTGAATATGAAGCATTGCGGAAAAAAAAGTAAAATTGCATTGTGAGAAAATGCTGCTAAAATAGTGCAGAGTTATTTTATATTTATACTAAAATATTATTTCAATAAACTATAGAGACCCACAAAATATGTAAGCAAAAAGCCTTGGCTGCTAACAATATATAAATCGCCAAAGTTAGTTACTATTGTACATGAATGTGTGATGTTGATGTACCCCATTGGATGTTTTTTTCTCTAGGTACGTTTATTAGTTGCTAAAGTAAGTCTGTTGGATAACCCTTATATTTTTATGTATGATTTAGTTTAATATTATCACTTCAATTTTTCTTCATTCTTTGCTCTTAATTTGCCTCAGTCTGTCATCGTTGGACATTATACCTCTTCAAATTCTCAGGTAGTTTGCAATGTTTGGACTTGTTTTATGTTGCTTTCACGTTTTCGGGTAATTTTTGAAATCACCATTCAGTATTGCAGTTTACCAGCAGTGTCGTCGCTGGTATTACATACATCTTCTTCTGTTTTTATGCAAATTAATTTGTTTTGCTTGCTGTGTTTAATTTCTTTGCCTTTTGCACTATGCGTGTTTTCAAATGCTTGGTGTATAGGTTTTCTCACACTTAATTTATATATAGTTCTCATTTCATTGTTGAGTGCTACGTACTAACATGGCTAAAAATAAATGACAGACTTTGTGTCTGTTTTATCAGTGTTTGAAATTCTTAGTACATTTCAGCTGCCAAATTTGAATATGATCACAGTGTCATCTCACTCTCTGCTTTACTATGTAGATGTAGATAACCAAGTATAGAATAAAGTGTATTGGGTTTTACAAGGTGTTCTAATTAACACTGACACTCGTTAATTTAAAAGTAGATATAGTTAATATTTTGCTGTCCATTTTTGTACCCTAGAATATTATGTCGTGTTGATTTCAGTTTGGGATATTGTCAATTTTCCACACGACTTCTAGGGTCTAAGTGTACGTTATTTTTGTTGTCTTGGAAAGTCGGCAAACAAAGGTAGTACATGTATGTGTAATACCACAAACACTCACCACATCCATGTTATAGCTACAACAATAAATCGGCTACACCCTTATGCAAATTTGCTATCACTATGACAGCCACAGGTATCACATGCATATTTGAAATAAACTACTTTTGTTTTGAACCTTTGAACATACTAGTATGTTACAGTATAAACCTACATAATGTTTTACATACATGGTTCCAAACAAGTCATCAAAACATTATCGTATGTCCATTTAGATAAAAATTATGAAAGAAATATAGAAAAATACTAATAAATAATTTTGTTGTGAATTGTTGGAATTCAAAGAGTTGAAAACACCAATCTTTTCTCTACTGTACTATAAGAAATGCTGAGACAATAAAGAATGTTTCAGCCTCTCTCTCTCTCTCTGTCTTCACTGTGTTCAACATCAATGTCAATTTCACATCCATAAAATGGACTCATGTCTGATGTCATGTCTGAAAAGAGTTTGCAATGTAGAATACGATTCATTCACTCAAAATATATTACACAATTAAGCTTATTAGTAGTTTCATTGACAGTTTCAGTAACCATGGACCATCATTTCTGCTAGCTACACAGGGGCTACTGTAACTAATAACCTCTAGCAATTTTGATGATTTCTGGGTTTTCACAATCATAACAGTTACTATGTTTTAATGTTCACTGCTACATCATTTCCAGAACGCAAAATTTAAGAAATTGCACCAAACTAGAATAATTGTCCACCTCACTGAAACTAGCCATAGTCAAATAACAACTTGGTTCTAGAGAGGGGGCACATTTGTAAAAGCTTTCTCAATGGTATCTTTTCCAGAATATTGTAGAAAACCTTGTAACACAGACACCACCTGTGAAAGAACCTGAAAAATTGCTACAAGATATGGATATCAATAGATTACGAGCTGTTGTGTACAGAGATGTGGTGAGTAAATACTAAGATGAGTTTGGAATAGCCGCTGGCGGCGCCATCCTATGTTCTCACGGTGGGGCCATATTGAAGTCAGCCCAGCCTGTTTATGTATTTACATTACGACCTCGTCAATCTATCCAACGCTGATTTTAATCGGAAAACAGAACGAGACAGCACAACATGCACTGACACCACTTTGTAAGTTCAAAACGTCACCTCAGTAAATATTGAACAGAAAATCGCCGAAAAACATCGTCACCAGTGTTAATATAAAACAATATAAATGTTAAAGATGACAACTTGAAGAAATAATTACTCCCTTAAAATAATAATGAATGACGACATACAGTACACCCAACCTTCCGCTTTTACTGCTTTTTAATCGATCTCTTATCGCTTAATTTTCGACCACACGGTCTTGCCCGACCAGAAACCGGACTCATTTTAATTGTTGTTTTTTTCGTCGTCGTCGTCGCCCAAACACTGATCACTCACACATGAGTCGTCGAAATGGTGGTTTTGATAGTAAAGTGTGAAAATACAACTAGTATTAACTATTATTAAATTCTGAACAACACTTCAAATCTTTAGTTGTATTTGTACTAGTATTGTTCGTGAAAGCAACTGAACTGGGACCTCTTGTTAAATGATTTGGGTGCTGGTTCTAATTGTAATATTTTATTTTATTTTAATAAGACAGTTACGTGAAAAAAGGCCTAGCTAACTCTTTTTAACAGAGCGGGGAGACAAGGAGAATATTAATGATTAATTCCAAAAATAACAAGACCAAAACCTTGTCGGTCCACAGGCAATCGTTCTGGTAAAATTTGACATCCAATTTTCAAAATTAAGTCACGATCAGTGAATGAGCTCGATCTATACGTACCTTAAAAATATTTCCACAAAATATTTTTGAATAAAAACTGCTGCATGCCCTAAAATCCCACCTGTTTTTCAAAATATACCAATGTTGTCAGTGACTAATTTTAAAGTCTGTCACAGCACAAAAAAAAAATGTGAATCGATGCCGGAGATTGGATGGTACGACGACCCTTCAACAAGCGTCAAATATGCTTTGTTACAACATCATTGATTGGCTGAAAGTCACCTGATCGGATCACGGCCTGGGCCACAGAACCATATTTGTCCGTATTATCAACAAGACTCTACGAGAGAACCACACCCACATTTTCAACCATTTTAGAGTAGAAGTTGCCAGCAAATGTTGAAAAACTCATGAATTTTATGGATTCGAATAAAATAAAACTAGCGATTGCTAAGAATGATTATTAATATATTCCCAGATGCTCTTCGAATCGAAATTTTTGATTTCAAGGTAAAAAATGGCTAGTTGAAGTTGCATCAACTTCAAGGTGGCTGTTTTACCGGACTGAACAACTCTAGCTCTGTTGTAGTTTCGTAATGTAAAATAAATTATATATATATAATAATAATAATAATAATAGTTTATTACGCAACTGTAATCTGCTGTGGATACAGTAAGGTAAAAATAGTGTAAAATAAAGCAACTAAAAATAACTACAAATTTAAAAGTTCTAATAACTACAAAAAATCAGAAAGTAATAAAAATACAGTAAATAAATCAAAGCAAAGGTAAATAATAATACTTGTTTAATTATTTGGGTTTTTAGCGTACAAACTTAATCCCCATGAATTACGGTCAATGTTGTTCTGTCTAGGCTGATTGTGTTGAATGCCGGACATCGAGACCGACGCCCGTCCTAAACTCAGTATGGAAAAACCAACTCGGAACGATATTCCAAACAAATTATTGGGACACGGTCGACAGACATTCCAAACAATCAAAATTATTAACGAAAGACGAGATTTTCCTAGATATTTACAAACATACTGTCATGACAAACATATGTAAAATTAACAAATACACAAAGCGGTGTAATATTAGCTTTTATTTTAGGCTTAGAAATATTTTCTTTCACTCAGTCCATGCTTGGAACTGCAATTTAGCTTCATGGTTCTTCGGCTTGTCTACGCCTTGGGAGGAAACAACAAGAATAATTATACAAATCTTAAACACATTGCGAAGACTCAACAATCAGGAAAGAAAACCCAGACAACCATGTCATACTTGTGTTGAAATACATTTTGTATTTCATGTCAGAATATTGTTTAAAATATAATATTCAATCCCAGCCAAATCGAGGTCAAAGTGTCAGATTGCATGCATATAATTATAGATAGTTAAAACAAAAAGTATTTGAACTTTTGTCAGCTGTTCAACATCTATGAAAACCAGAAAGACAATTATAAGACAATGTGAACCTCGGACATTTTTAGTTCAAATTTTAAATGCGAGCCAGCGAACGGGCAGTGATAATTGTCCAGTGGAAATTGTCCAGTCGAATTCACCAAGCAGTCGCAAAAGCGAGCGAAAAAAAAAGGTTGGGCGAAATGAGTGTTGTAAGTTGGATAGATTGATGAGGTCGTAACATAAGTACATACACAGGCTGGGCTGACTTCAATATGGCCCCACCATGGGGAAATTTGTTGGTCACGTGATAGGGTGGCGTCGCCAGCGGTCGTTTATCTTGAAAGTGGGCTATTGTTTGGTTGCTATGTTACCAAGTGCATAGTAGTGGTGATTTAATCGTCAGCGTAAAACATCCGTTTGCGTCAACTTTGCAATTTCGAGTCCTTCTTACTAACTATCAGCTGTGTAGCTAATATATCCAGGGATGTTCTCTCTAAGATTTATTAGTTTTGTGACAATATTTTCAATTCAATTTTGATTGCTTTGATATTAAATACCTATCTGAATATTTTCAATTCAATTTTGATTGCTTTGATATTAAATACCTATCTGAATATTTTCAATTCAATTTTGATTGCTTTGATATTAAATACCTATCTGAGATTTTCTCATTTTGGGATATCTGCACTTCTCTAATTTGATTAACTTTGTAATTTTTGGTAAAAAGTTATTAAAATATTAATAATTATTTATTAAAAACTTCAATTTTGATTGATTTGAAATTGATGGATCTCTCTCAGATCTGTTGATTCTGTATCAATATTTTTTGTGATTTTTGATGAAAAGTGATTTTTTTGACTTCTTGTTGAAAACCGCAAGTAAGATTATACATATAGGCATCTCAGGTGGACCTTTCTCATATTTGTTCATTTTATGAATGAATTTTTCGGTTCTCAGGAATTCATGAGAATTAACTAATATACTGTAGAAAAAAAATATTTACTATATTTTATTGCTTTTAACTAAGAGTGAAAAGAAAGTCCAATGAATAACCAATCCCTTTACAATTACATGTACATATTTTGGCCAGCAAATGTCTGGCAATGACAGAAAATAATCTTGGTAACTTTATGTATAAATGTTTTTAATTGCACTATTTTCAGGAGGAGAGTAAACAAGCTCAATTCCTAGCACTAGCCGTGGTTTACTTTGTATCAGTATTAATGGTCGGAAGGTACAGGGATATTCTGGAGACTGAATCTGATAGCCATGCTGCAGATGAAGCTACAAGACAGAGAGCCAGAAGTATGATCAATTCACCGACCAGTACAGAAGGCAGGTTTCAATTCAACAGCAATGATGATATGGAAAGAGTACATCACGGGCAACAAGGTGGTAATCAGGTTGCTCAAAACAGTTCAGAAAAACCTGCAGTCGAACAGCAAAGCAGTACTGCTGTTGTTACGACTGGTCTGACTACTGTCAACGATACTGGGTTACAGCAACAACCAGCTGAGACTACGCCTGATATGAATGCTGCAGTGATTGGAGTCAGTGACAGCAAGAAAGCTGATTTACAAGCCTCTGCGGCATTAGCAGCCGCAACTATTCAGACTGGAGATGCTGCCGATGTGGAAACTGTTAATGTTACTGCCTCTTCACCTGCAGTTATCTCTGCAAGCAATAATGGTGAGCCAATCAGTACTTTAAGCGGTGTTACCGACAGGACTGTTGTAGCAACCGCTGATGCTGCATCTGCTACATATCCTCTGTCACCAACCCTCCCCCCATCAGAACCTGTCACCCCCAATGATGCTGCAGGTCCCACTGCATCCATCTCTTCGGTGGTCGATGCCTCAGCTGTGGCTAAGAAACCCATGCAGACATGGCCATGGACACCTGCTATTGAAGAGGAGAAGAAGAAAGCTGCTGCTGCTATGAACAAGAAAGCTATGAGGAACGGCAATGGTCAGCCTACGATGGGTCTCCCCCCGGGGCCGCCACCAGCGAGTGCCCTGTGGAATGGCAACACGACAGTCAGTGGTCCATCATTGGCTGAGGCGCACAGTCTGCTGGCAGACAACCAAGCAATGTGTTGGGGTGGGGGTAACGTGGACGAGAGGCTGCAAAGGTCTTTGGAAACCACTGCACCATTGCTGAGAGAGATATTTGTGGATTTTGCACAGTTTCTGTCTAAGACTTTGGTTGGAAGTCATGGACAGGAACTTTTAATAGAAGGTAGGTTCATCTACATATGATGTAGTAATTTATATAAACATGTCATAAATCTATCCACATTTTGTGCATAGTCAAATGATCATTATTTCTGCCTACAAATGTACATGTTATGAAATACTAGCATTAACTGCAAGTCTGTAAAACAAATGGTAATGTTCTACTCATATTATGTGTGTTTTAGATAAAGCAGTAATATCTTCTCATTTTTTTCTGTTCATGTCCATTTTCACCCTGTATTGCAATTATGGTATTAGCTCTGTTAGTAGCACATGCACTTGTGATAATTATGGAGGTGTTTCTTTGGTCAAAATAAGTAATGTTTTGATAATTCATGATTTAGCAAATGAGATTTTTGGTTTATATGCAAGTATGGTAATATGATTGATGCATTCATGGACATATTACTGATTGACATCATTGATATCAAAATTACATACCTTTATTTTATAAATACTATCTTCACTATTGACGTCGTCCCCTTTCACAAAATAGAATTTAATAAAAGTTTAAAGTGCCTGTGCAATGCCCATCCTCACGTTTCCCATTTTAGATCTGTGTCCCACTGAAAAAGGTAGTTATTGATTTTTTTGCTGAAAACCATTACTCGTATCCAAGTAAATTTGGGATATTTCTCGTGTTGTAGCCACGCCCACCTATCGTGAAACGGACGACTGTTTCCGGATTTCCGACTCTCGCCGAAAGTGCGCCACCAAATGACAAAATGTGAGATGAAGTCATACCCCTGAGTCGTAATACCACTGGTCGTTCAGTATACTTTTAAACGATATACATTTTTCGGTCGGCGTTTTTTCTTCTTTTTTTTTTTGTCTATTTTTTTTTTTTTTTTTGAGAGAGAGAGGTTTTAGATGTTGTGTTGTGGGCAGTTGCAGTGAAACGTATAGCCATAGTGTATGTATTCACACGTTTCTAATCGATCCGAAGGTGCAACATCACTTAACCTTAGATTCATTCAACTGTCCTCGTCCATAAAAAAAACGACTAGATTTAAAGAGAAACGCCGACAACGTAAACCTGGCGCAACACTTTAGAAAGAAATAGATTCCGGACCAGCCCATGATCAGCGAGGCGGATTTCAGAAGAAAGAGAGACGTCCGGCAAGTGTTTCAAATGAGTTGATTTTTTTTGCGATCCTGATTATCGGTTTATAGAGACCATTTAGTCCCTGTTAAGTAAAAGGTAGCAACAATTTTGACAGTGACACGAAAACGAAGCGTCGGACAAACAGGAAATTACATAGCCCTTACACACAGCTAAGTGTTTTCATTTTCGAAGGCTAAAAGTTTCTGAATTGTTTGGTGATTGGTGTTGAATGTTCTTTTTTACCTCCATGCTTGCAGCTTGATCTGCTTAATAATTTATGAAATAAGAATCCGGGCTTGGTCAATGTGTTTCCACCAAATAAAGTTTTAATACGATGTTATAATTATGACAATCACGGCATGGATCAAGCTAACTCGAATCCACTCTGAATTTATTTGTATGTGTGTCGATCTCGATTATTTTTGTTATCCAATTAAACGCCGCTTTTAACGCACTTGCCCTCGCCGTGACCCGACGCGTTCACCTATTTCAACAAAATGTCAATTTATTTCCACGCTACTGTCATTTATTTAGTAACTGTGATTTGTCGTTTTTTAGCTCCGCTGTCAACTTTGTCGAGCGGAGCTTATCATATGAGTGATTGTCCGTCGTCGTCCGTGTCAATGTTTTATTTTTTTGACTTCTTCTTGAAAACTACAAGCCTGAATGCTTTGATACTTGGTGTATATGTACCTTGGGTAGACCTCTCTCAGATTTATTCATTTTGTAATGATATCTTTAATTCTCTAATTTTGGTGAATATTTTTGTCATTTTTAGTAAAAAGTGATATTTTCGACTTCTTGTTAAAAACCGCAAGTCCAATTGCTTTGATATTACATATATAGGTACTACATGTGGAACTCTCTCAGATTTGTTCATTTTGTAATGATATCTTTAGTTCTCTAATTTTGGTGAATATTTTTGTCATTTTTAGTAAAAAGTGATATTTTCGACTTCTTGTTAAAAACCGCAAGTTCAATTGCTTTGATATTACATATATAGGTACTACATGTGGACCTCTCTCAGATTTGTTCATTTTGTAATGATATCTTCAATTCTCTAATTTTGGTAAATATTTTTGTCATTTTTGGTAAAAAGTGATATTTTCAACTTCTTGTTAAAAACCGCAAGTCCAATTGCTTTGATATTACATGCATAGGTACTACAAGTGGACCTGTCTCAGATTTGTTCATTTTGTAATGATATCTTTAATTCTTTAATTTTGGTGAATATTTTTGTCATTTTTGGTAAAAAGTGATATTTTCAACTTCTTGTTGAAAACCGCAAGTCCAATTGCTTTTATATTACATACATAAATACTACATGTGGACCTTGTTAATTTTGTGGTGATATCTTTAATTACTTAATTTTGATGATTATTTTTGTCATTTTTGGTGAAAAGTGATATTTTTGAATTCTTGTTGAAAACAGCAAGGTCCTTTGCTTTGATACTATACATATTGTTCATTTTCTAATGATATCTTCAGTTCTTTAATTGAAATGTGCATTGCTAACAGCGGAGCTATCTCAGCCGATAGGCTGCTTGTTTAATTATGTTATAGTGATCACTATTGTCTAATGTTTAGAATGTCAAAATATGTTCTCTTTTATTTTAATTTTGAAAGTTTTACTCAGACGATCGATGAAATAAAACAGTGTAGTGACGTGCCTAGTAACCTGCTAAATAACGAGATAATTCCGACGTCAGATTCTATTTTGTCCAGCAACAGTGTACAACCGTGCGCCGGTGTCGGTGACAATCACGGTGACCAGCTACATCAGAACGGACATATTTCGCATCTAACTCAACCCCATGCAACAAAAATTGATACTATGTGTTCATTATGGTCCATTCTTCCTCGACGAACAAGTACATAAGTGACAATATAGTCAAAGACGAGAAAACTGCACAAGAAATTTGCCTTATTTACACGTATCGGCAATGCAAGCTGCCATGCGACTTCCCCTTCTGACGTCACAAGGGGAATTTCTGTATGCAAATGAGAAGCTAATGAGGAGCCTCGTTTTAAAATACACAAAAATAAAGTTGCCGTAGACTGAGTTTAAAACCCATTTTTTCACTTAAAAAAATTAATTCATGCTTAGAAACATAAAAATTAATAATATTTATGTATCAATTGATAATTTTAGGCCTGAAAATAGCAGCCATTTCATAGGCACTTTAAAATCTTTGAAAATAAACATTGATAAGTTAGGTTGGAAATAATCTATCTGTAAAGTTGTAACATGCATGTGTCAATCAATCTCACTTCCACTGACCTTCTTACAAAGGTATGGTAATTAATTATAAACAAAACTGACACTTGTTTTATTTTTTTCATGCCAAGGTTTAGTGAGCATGAAGTCTTCTAACTCTGTTATTGAACTAGTCATGTTGCTGTGTTCTCAAGAATGGCAAAACTCCATCCAAAAGCATGCTGGTCTAGCTTTTATTGAACTTATCAATGAGGGCAGGCTACATTCTCACGCCACCCGGGAACACATCCTCAGAGTATCCAATGAGGCAGAGTTTATTTTAAGTCGTCAACGAGCGGAGGATGTCATGAAACATGCAGAATTTGAGGTATTTGTATTTTTTTGATAAAATTCTGTGAAATATTGTCTATTCACTGCTGGAAATTGTACCTGTAGAAGAGTAATTGTAGCTGTTTTAACTTTTAGAACTCAATATTTTCTCTCACCATTATTTTTGGAAAACACTTTGCATATTGTGTAATTGTTCATTTCCACCAAATTGGATAATTTGCCATTGGCAACACATTAGAATCAAAACTTTTAAAAAAATGTAAAAACAAAAATATGTGGGTTTATTTTGTGAAAGGTCTCTCAATGTATTGACTCATGATAAAGGTCATAAAGCTTCTGAAATTAAAAACGAAAATTCTCAATTTGTTGACACTAGATGGCGCTTTTGGTCTTGTATGTGCATCAAATTGAATTTCCATTTTTTGGGCAATTTGAAATTTTCCACTGAACGGTCTTTGCAGTTAATTTGGATATTTCAAAGCTAATATCAATCATATTTTTAGATAGAATGGGATAGACAGATTAAATTCATTCAATTTTTGAATAAATGTCTTTGTTTTCAGTCTCTCTGTGCAACTTCCTCAGTTGAGAGAAAAGATGAGGAGCGTCTTTGTGACCATCTGATAACGGCCGCTAGACATCGTGATCACATGACAGCTAATCAAGTGCTCCAGAAGATACTAGGAATACTAATCAATAAGCATGGTGCCTGGATGAATGTTGAACGGTGAGTCCCCCCTACTACCTCGTCTTTGTTTTAGTGAGAGAATACGACTTCCTCTCCCCTTCCCCTATCATGTCCACTTACCATATGATAATTATCTGCGATAAAAATCTAACAGTGGGCTGGTAGGTACATTGGTTTTAAATGTTCATTTCACATGAATTATATTCTACATTCCTGCTTTCTCTGAATGACTACATTAACAAAGACATATAATTGATGTTCTGTTCCACTCAACTAATGCCTAGGTACAATGCTAGTAATATCTTATTACCCATTCACTAATGCCTAGGTACAATGCTAGTAATAGCTTTTTACCCATTCATTAGTATGTATAGTTTTCCAGATTTAACCTAAACAAATATCTAATGTACCTTTTTTTCATAGCACCAAGGAATTCTTCAAATTGGACAGTTGGGAAGACAACAATCGTCGACGGCGACGTCTTGTGAGAAACCCTTACGGTTCAACACATCCTAGTGCCACACTGAAAGCTGCTTTAGAGCATGGTATGTGCACATGTCACTTTTCACACTATATGAAAGTTTAAATGTGATATAACGTTCTCGAATCAAGTGCTTTTAGTTCTGCTGCTGTGAACAATACAATAGTTAGCGAGTTCATTTCACATCAGAACATGGGTTTGACTACCTCTGACAACGACTTACTCAGCACAAAATAGAGCATATTCTGCCCAAACTTCTAAACACGTATTATTAGGTTGAGATGGGAATGTGGTCCTGTCATATAAGGCTGATAAGAACAGCCAGCCCTGTGTACTGTCTTCAGTCTATGTTAAAAATGTCATGCTTATTGAAAACATACAGTATCAGGTTTGTACTTTCCCTTCGTTTCTGCAGACCTTTTTAACCTCAAGGTGTGGCTTCACAATTGATCCCCATAATTGATTTTTGTACAGACCCACAAACACACCATATTGGGTTTAGAAGAATGAGACAATATCAATTATCAATCGCATTTCATTCTGTCAATATGTGTTTGTCATTTATTTTGAATTTTAGCAAACTTGCAATTTTCTCCATTTTATTTCTTAATAAGGTGCTGGAGAGGATGCCATAGAGAAAGCAAAACAGGCTATTCATGCTCATTTACTAGCGTCTAGTAACCCTGACGACCAGCAGGATCTTGAGAATGATGATATCAACAGTCAGTTGGAAGATTTAGACTTGGATGCTGAGCTCACAGGTTTGTATTTCCATGTCACAGTACAGTGTATACTAATGTATTGCGTTTTTGAGTTGAGGTAGTTTGAAACAGCGCCCTCATGAATTACATTTTAAAACTTTGTTGTTTTTATTTGATGTAAATGTTTTCTTTCTTGACTTTTCCCATGATGCAAAGCACCAAAGTATTGTTGTCATCCATCTTTGTATTAAAAATACAAAATGCTTTACCATAATGCATATTTTCACTGCACAGGACCTCTCGTGTACAGTACTCAATGCTCTTTGATTGGTCCAGCTGTGATGGCCAGAGGTACATTATCTATTACGTCAGCTGAGCTGTACTTTGAAGTCGACGAGGAAGATCCAGACTTTAAAAAAATCGACCCAAAGGTAAAAACATGTATGTGTGTTAGCATAATGTATAGCTGTACACATGGTATAGGTATAGGTGTGTATTTGTATGTTAGACACAGTGGAATGCATGGAAGATGAATCTGGCTGCTGATGCTGTTGTATGTTCATTATATGTAATATATATGTTGTTTTGTCTTCATTGTTGTTGCGCGTTTTTCTTGCTTTTGTCTTGGATTACTGCTTGTGGAGTCTACACATCAACTCGAATACTTCGCTATTGTGAAGAGAAATGCTGTTAGAAGACATTGTTTTTGGTGCTTGCTGGATTGACTTTCTCAGTAAAATAAGGTGATGTAATTATAATAATTAAAATAATATTAACTGTTTTACAATGTCAAATATACTTTTTTCTTCGCTGGAATTATTTTTTGCTGAAAAAAATGTTATGGGTGTTTTGTATGGAGTTTATTTTTACTGATTTTCGATAAGTTGAGTGTGAAATATAGAAAAAAAGTTATATTTACTGAACTTATTTTCACTGAATCACCCCTTAAGCAATTTTTTTTTTTTTTGTGCCAGGCGACAGTTCTGGACACTGTTGTCACTCCTGACTGAATCTCGGCCAGTGGAATTGGCCTTCCCATTGAGTCTGTGGCACACTCACCCAGGGTGGGAGTCGACCCCCTTAAGCAAAATTAATTCCAAGGGAAAATAAAATATTTTACAGTATGTGCGATGAGTTGAGATTGAATCTATCATGCATGTTTTGAAATTGATGTCACCTTGGATTCCAAACAGCATTCCTATGGAATCTCTATGAAGATGTAATGCTGAATTATGCAAATTATCTTGAAATAGACAAATATGTCAAATCTTATTGAATGCTTCTAGCCACAATGTGAGGCTAAGTAATGCAGAGTATTTTCAAAAGTAATCTGATCCTGCCATTTATACAGCAATTGAATATTGAGGGCATCCCTCAATGACCGTGAAATGTCAGAATATTTTTGAGTGTAGAGTGACATTAAAAAATATTCTGATGAAGATAGAATGTTTTGTACTTTTAACTGTATCTGATCAATAGACTACCGGTACTAGTATGCTAATCATATTTAATCAGCTCTACTTTAATATGTTCATTTATATATAATTTACATAAGTATAGCTTTATTAATATTCATATTGTTATTGGATTGGCTGCAACACCATGATTGGTTGGAATTCAAGGTTTGGTAAGTAGGTAGGTAATGGACGTGATGGAAAAGAATGTTTTAGAAATGGAAATACAGGTTTGGTATGTATTATATTTGAGTTTTCAGTAATTGCATGTGCCAATATTGGACTATTTCCTACAAGGAAACAGTGTATATTGTTGTAACTTGTTTTTAGATTTTAGCAAATTTAAAAGCTGAGGGTACACAAAAAAGGTTTTAGTCTTTGCTAATATTTTATTCACATTTGTATGGCATGAAATTTTGTTTCTCCTTTTATCATTTTTTTTTACATATTACAGCCATCACTGTGTTGTGTTTTGGTTTGGTTGTTTTGGGTCAGGTTGGGCTGGGTTGGGCTGGGCTGGGTTGGGCTGGGCTGGGCTGTGTTTGGTTGTGTTGGGTCAGGTTGGGCTGGGCTGGGTTGGGTTGGGCTGGGCTGTGTTTGGTTGTGTTGGGTCAGGTTGGGTTGGGCTGGGCTGGGCTGGGCTGTGTTTGATTGTGTTGGGTCAGGTTGGGCTGGGTTCGGCTGGGCGGGGCTGTGTTGGGTTGGGTTGGGCTGGGCTGTGTTGGGTCAGGTTGGGCTGGGTTCGGCTGGGCGGGGCTGTGTTGGGTTGGGTTGGGTTGGGTTGGGCTGGGCTGTGTTGGGTCAGGTTGGGCTGGGCTGGGCTGGGCTGGGCTGGGCTGGGCTGGGCTGTGTTTGGCTGGGTTGGGTTGGGTTGGGTTGGGTTACTGGTATGTTGTGATTGGGTGTTTGAACCTCCTTGATTTCCTCCTTCAGTTCTGAAATCTCAAAAAGTAACTCTGTGACCCTATGTTTCTTCACATATTTTTCACCAGAGTGTCTTTATTAGACTCAATCCATACCTATCATGTTATGGGAATCTATCTTTAAATTATACCAAGTTCCTAAATGTTTATTAACCGTGGTTGTAAGGAATCCGAAGTTGCATTTATCTGAACAGCGCCCTCTGGAGATGAATCGTGTGCTAGCGATTTTCTGCTTTGTTGCTAACAGCGCCATCTATAGTGCTATCTCAGTCATTACGTGCATATTCCGACGAAAGACCGGGATCTAATAAATGGTACAACCGACTACAAATATCTTTTAAAATACTTGCGCTGTCAGTGGAACTTGTACACGTCTGTGAAATTGTTGAATCAAATATACAGTACCTTCTTTTTCCAATACTTTTCGTGTTTCCTGTTTCCTCTAATGATTTGTATAATGTTTGTATTATTTGTAATCATTTATTTCTATGGTGGTGTCTTATCTCAATATGTTGTCATAAAATGTGTCATTATCGTTGATATCGCCTCTTTGGGCACTGTTTGCTGGCAAAAATATGCGAGTACATCTATACACATGTTTTTAGTCTCTTGATTGTGTGCCTAATTCCTAGCGGTATTAAACTGCAGTTTTTGTCTTGTTTTTCGTGTGCTAAATGTGTGTCAATAGTGTAGTTTGAACAATGGAACTTTTTAAGGACTAACTCGTGCGTCGGTCACGGTCCGAGTCGTCGATCGAAATGCATTGCGTTTCGCCGAGATAACAAAAAAAGTAGTATAACATTGTTTTCTGTTACGTTTTCACTTGCACTTCACTCTTTGGAGTTATTCAAGATGTCATGTGATTAAATTAAACACTGCGTTCTGAACGCGTTTCATTTCGGGAAGGGTCAAATTCAATAGATATGTTTTAACAGTGTAATATGGAAACTTGCTCCGAAATGGCGACTGTATCATCTCTTGCAAACACGACCTGTCATGTACGGAGTACAGTGTATAATAAAACTATTGGAACTTGGGAATGTTTTCTCATAGATACTTTGCTCAGTTGTAGCTCAAGTGTCAAGTGTTTCACATCTGGTAACCCATGGAGACGTCTATGGGTAACCTAACTCCCGATTAACTTTCTTATATAGTAACAAAACGATGAAGCCTATTTGAGTGTTATCTTCTTAAAGGCCATGCCCAGTGGGTGCTCTTTCTCGGCAACTGCCTGGACCACTAAGACTTCCGACCAATGCCGCCAATTGGCTTCACGTCCTGCTGTGCTCCTATCTGGCGCTGATCTGATGACCCCCAGGCCGAAGGCTGTCTGTTGCGGGTGCCTGGCGAGCGAACTGCACGGCGACGTGTTCGGTGAATTCCCCGGTGATGTAAACGTACACTTAGATGGTTTTGTAACGAGGCCGTAAAATACCAGACAAATAAATATATCTCTTACCACGTTGACTTAGTCGTGGTGTTGTGGCCGGATCGGGTTACTTCTCTTGGGATGCTTTGTTCTTAACTTTTATAAGTAAACCAAACAAATGGTGCTGATCAGCGTGCCGCTGCTTGATCGGATTCGAGCTCATACTACTATGCGATTCGAGCTTGGCCGCTGTCCCCACATTTGCATGTTGTCGAAATGGCGACACATCAAAATAACGGGGTTGTTTTTTAAAACTGTCACTAGACGGTGGTGATTCAGTTTATGCCTGATACAGCGATGCGTGTATATGGAATCATTTTGCTAGTGCTCGCTGATAAAACGAAAATATTGGATACTAGTACTTATTAAATAAATATTCACGGTTTGCGGCAATAACTAAATATTTATCGCCCAATTCACGTGTTGATATTTGTTCCATTATGTTTACTTGTTCACTTTCTTGACAGGATGAAATGTGCTCAGAACTTTTCCAGATCGCACTCTTGAAATGCTTCTTTCGTCTCCCCTTGCTACTCTCTCTTCTCATTAGAAAATCTCATGGTAGATCAGTTACAAAGTTTTCTTAACCCCGTCGCCTCCTATTTTATCGCTTAATGAGTCGAGGAGCCAGCGTCTTCTCCGCCCCTATAAAATGCATTCGTGACATACTTGTGTGCTATGCTGTTTCGCCACTGCATACCACTTGTCTCTCCGTTGAAACTGGATATGTCGGGGGTGTGTGTGTTTTACATTTAATCGTATATACAAACATACATTTTGGCGCGATCTCAGAGTGAATTTCCCTATTTTATATAACGTTTTTTCTTGGTTTTAGTTTTTTGTTACGACCAGGCACCTAGTATTTTTACCGCGAGTTTAATATGGGATAATTGGAGCACATCTATGTCGGATTTACAATTGGGTAAGCTTCCTGGGTTCCGCTTCAGACCTCGTAAAAATAACAGGTGACGCATGCAGTACATTTCAGCCATAGACATGAGTGTGAATTATGCAACGACTCAAACGAACTGTCGGCGTGTTGTCACACCAATTGTAATTTACCGTAAGAGATTCGCAATTCGGCGAAAACCGATTCACTCAATGTTTCATTCATGAACGGTTAGCTGGATCAAATATACGTGTAAATTATGCTAGAAATTGCGAGAATATAACGGAAATGTTGTGTAGAAGAAAATCGGGTATACATATTATCGTCCAAGTTGTGGGATAGTATAGTGAGCGAAATACTTTGAATATACCGGATACCCAACTTGATGAGACCATTAAGTGCCAACAATGTGTGCGTAGCTTCCGTTCACTTGCATGAGAATCGCCTTCATTTTGTTTATTTTCCGTCTGTGAGCAGTTTGTGTGAGGGAAGTCACATAAGAAATCAAAACCTTGTTGAGAATGGAGCTAACGCTTTAGTAGAGTTCGGGCAAATGCGCCCAATCGTCTTACGCCACATTGTGAAAACGTAGAGCCAAATGAATCGCCTAGCCAAAATTAGAAAATCTTAAAAGTGTCTAGTTTTTATAATTAAACAGTAAGTTGAGTTAAATCTCCGTAATGTAACCGGTCCATCCAAACTGTTACTAGCAGTATTGCAAAGTTCAATGCAGCTG